ACTTTATCTCTTGAGCTTTTAGAGTCATTAGAGCTATCAAGATTTAAAGCTTTAAACTTATTTACAGAATCATCTAACAAATTATTCACTCCCTTGTCAGTAGACATCCCAGGAGGTCCTTTTTTCTTATTTATTGCTGTTTCTCTTAACAAATTATTCACTCCCTTGTCACTAGACATCCCGGGAGGTCCTTTTTTCTTATATTTTATTGTTAGGCGCGCCCCATCTCTCACCACATTCGGTTTCTGATATGTAATTCTGGACTTCTTTAAGATTGCTACAACAGTGAGAAAAGTCAAAATAGCTCCTAGTAAAAGCATAGAAGCCTCTATATTAACCTCCCACAATAGCAACATTCCCAAGCCAAAGTCCAGAAAAATCATACCTCTCCGAATTTACCACCCTGCAGTTCTGAATCCGCCTTGTTAGAGGGGTCTCCGAGGTGCTGGAAATGTTCACATGTTCCCGGGTTTCGGCACCATATGTCCCGCGCCTGCTCTGTATTCCTCGCCAGCAAGAAATCATACACGGGACACTCGGATCCTTCTGCAGGAAAGCTTTAATGCATCTTGAGAGGAGAGCATAAGCTTACCAGAGCGGAGACCCTGAGCCAAGAATCCCGTCCCCTAATAAAGGCTGGCAGCAGCCGCCTGGGACGTGTCACCCTATGATTGGCTGTAGCTCATCCGGCCATATGACGCCACGGAATAGGCAGAGATCAAGGAATGGAAATTTACCCAGCGCCTGCGCAATAATCTTGTTTACATTCGGTGCCTGCCGGATGCAGGCGCCATCTTGTAATGGAGAATGCAGGGACGGCTCCCTACAGTGGACACATGTAAAATATACACCAAATGATTAATGAGGCAAAATGTGATTCTGTCTATACAATGAAATATTATTTGACAATATAAAAAATTAGAGGCTGTATTCACCAATGACTTACTACAAGATGTGGCATAGATGAAATTCAAAAGCATAGTAACCAAAAGAACCATTAACCAAAAATCAAATGCTTTATAATTCCATTTATGTGACAATTACAGAACTGTTAACTCTATAAAGATCAAATTAAATTACTCGTTGTGTATAGCTGAGGGAGCAAGAACAGGTAAGGATATTGGATGCTGTAATGTTTCACGCACTATGTTGATGGCTGTGTAAAACTCTTGAATTTTCTATTTTTAAATGGGTGATTTCAAGGTACATAAATATTTCAATGACCACATATGAGTGAGTACATATTGTGTTTGTCTTTCTGGGTCTGGGTTAGCCCATTCAGCATGATTTTTTCTAGTTGCATCAATTTGCCTGCAAATTTCATGATGTCATTGGTCTTTTGTTTCTGCTTAGTAATACTCCATTGTGTAAAGCAAAGGATAACCAAGCTACAATCCTCAACCCCAGAGAAGCTAGGTAACAAGGAGGACCCAAGGATCTCCCTGGGAATAGGAAGCAGATGGGATGTCCCGGGTAAACTTGTTGCAGGGGAGAAGAGAGGAGAGGCAATAAGGGGATGGGAACATGAAGAATCAGGATGGTCAAGTTGGGGAAAGGATGAAGGGGGGAGAAATAAAAGAGGTATCATGATAGAGGGGGGCATTATGGCGTTAGGGAGAAACCTGGTGCCAGGGAAACTCCCAGCAGCCCACAAGGATGACCCCAGCTATGAAGGTGCCTGAACTAGCCTTCGCCTGTAGTCAGATTGGTTACTACCCTAATTGTCATCAGAGAGCCTTCATCTAGTAGATGCAGAGATCCACATCCAAGCACTTGACCGACCTCCCTAGTCCAGTTGAAAAAAAATGGAGTAGGGATTACATGAGCAAGGCGGGAGCAAGATCATGACGGGAAAGCCACAGAGACTGCTGACCTGAGCTTGTGGGACAGCTAGGGAGCCAGCATGGGACTGACCTAGGACTCTGCATTGGTTTACAGTTGTGTAGCTTCTTCTTTTGTAGAGTCCCCGGCTGTGGGAACAGGGCCTGTCCCTGATGCATGAGCTGGCCCTTTGGAACCTATTCCCTATTGTGGGATACCTTGTTCAGCCTTGATGCAGAGGGGAGGAGCGTGCTCCTGCCTTAACTTGATATACCATGCTTTGTTGATTCCTGTGGGAGGCCTAACCCCATCTGAATGGAGACAGAGGAGGCGTGGATGAGGTGAAGGGCAGAAGGGAGGTGCATGGAAGGAACAGGAGGAGAGGACGGAGGGGAAACTGTGGTTGGTATGTAAAATAAATACAAAAATGATGAATAAAAATGATTTATATATAAAATATCTCAAAAGAATATGTTGGAAAACAAGCATAACAAAATAATTACATTAACAGAATGGTTAGTCTTTCAAAAATATTCTTATCTTATGTGCATGAATGTTTGTTGTTGTACTATGTGCATGCCTGGTGCCAGCAGAGGCTAGAAGAAACCCTGGGACTGGAGTTATTGACAATTGTGTGTGTTGGAAACAGAACATGGTTTCTCTGGAAGAGCCCTAAGTGCTTTAAAACACTGAGTCACCTTCCCACCCCCAAGAATGGTTACTCTTTATATAGAATTTCAAAACCTAGTTACAACGGGATAACTAGTAATATTCAGAAACAGGAATTGTGGAAGGTGGGAGGCAGAGACCAGAAGATTCAAATGAATCAAACATGAATCACTTAATTGTTTTTATTGGAATTCATCAGAAGAAAAGAAGATCTGTGTTACATAGACAAGGATTCATGATGAACTCTGTATATTTTAAACACCAACAAGTGGTTAACAAAAATCCATGTGAATTCTGCATTTTTCCCTTTTTACATAATGAATGAAATCTGATTTCGCCTAACTCCCTGTATTTACTTAGTCTTTTCCAATCAAAACAATCTTTGTTTCAAAATTCTTTACTCACCTATGCTCAGGTTCCCAAGGAAGTGTTTACATTTATCAATACAATTAACACTTTATAGTGTTTTGTAAAAATGGAACTTTCTGAAGAACAAAATTTGTAAAAGGCAAATGAGCTCCACAATATGAAATCACCAAATTGCCAAGTCTGGATTTATAAACACAAATATGCTGAACGTAATATGAAAAGCATAAGAATTTCATTCTGCAGGCACGTACTGTGGAGTTTCTTTCAAAACTCATCTGAATCCTCAGAATTTTATTTCCTTTTCTTTCATCTCTCAAGCATGCTTCTCAGTTGACAAAACAGAAAGCTTCAATTGGAGAAGACTCCATCCAAAATTTATTTTAAATCTACAGATTCAAATTGATTTCAGGGTATTATCCCATGGGTATAAACATCACCCAATGCATTTACTTTTGAATAACACCTGTCTGAAACAGTATTATTTAATACAAAACAAAAGTTAAATTGACCACATAGAATATCACCTGCTGCACTTAGCAATGTTAAGGAAAAATAATAGCTAAAATTATTCTGCTCACTCCAGAATCCATTAAAAGCACTCCGTTTCCCACAGAGTTCACTGGAAAATATTTTTTGTAAAAATTGGTGGGGGAGCTGGGGAGGAGGGGAGTGTGAGGGAACTTGGATTGACATGTAAATGAAGCTTGCTTCTAATTTAAATATAAAAAGGAAAAAAACAAAAAAAGGGAACACTTTTGACTCCAATACATAGACCAAAATTCAGGTCACTAAAAAACTGAGAAATTGCCTTCAAATTGTTTTGCTTATTTGTTTTCTTTTGTTTGTTTTTCTCCTTTCTAACCAACTATAAAAGACAATAACTCATCGAAATTACTGAACATTATTTAGAGGCCAGGAACACATAATTTCTAAAAACATTTATTTTAAAGCATCAAATCAAGTTTGAATTTCAGTAAACAAAGCTATGGCTTCATTATATGATGAAATTTTGCAGAGTACAGTTTTGCAAACAGCAGATATGATATAATAATTTGAAGTAAAGGGTGATTGTTTTCAAAAACTAAAGTAATACAGTACAAGGGTACCGTATCAATACCTTCTGGTTGAGTGATTTGGGTCATGTCTATCTTCAAACTATTTCAAATGTTGTTCCTTTCCTTTGATACTTGTTCTTTCTGACAAAATGAAAGCATGCCAGTGATTCTTTCTACTTGGACTGATATGTTGACACAATCTGCCTAAACTGAAACAAAAAGTTCAGCTATCAAGAGGCAGTGGCATTCATGATCACCAGCTATATTAAAGCAGGAGAAGGCAGCCACTAAGACTTCTTTGAGCAAACACCAAAGGAAAAAGTAAATTGTGAGCAACAAGGATCAAGATATTATATAATGGTTAATTAAAAGCCTGAGCTCTTTGTAAGAAGGGCGAATTTAAAATGAATTACAATCTTCTTTCCATGACTTAAAATCCCATAATTTTACTGAGGTAAGCAACTTAGAAGCATAACCATGTTACAACTGTTTAAGTAACCAAGGGGTCTGCCGGTGGAATGCATTCAGTGCTCCTCTTGTGGGAAGTGAACTATTTTGATCACTGAATGTGCAATGAAAGGTTACATTTAGAAGCCAGGAAAGCTTGTAGTTCAGGGCATACACATTGCTCCTATGGAAGAATGAGAATGTCACAATCACCGCAGGCAATTAGGATGTCTAACACATCGTAAACATAACCTGCAAATACATTTTAGCAACATCACATCAATATTCATGAATATTAATGAGGCAATTTTGGAATAAGAGTTTCCTTCGCTCTCTTTCTGCTCTTGTAATTCATCAATGTTGAAATGAAGATATCCTTAAGCTACACAGTAGTATCAAAAAAGAAGCATATGTTTTTTTGTAAAATCCTTACAGAACATAAAATATCTTGGCAGATAACAATACTATTCTATGACATCTACTTAAAGTTTTAACTTCATCTCTCATTTTCTCACTACCATGTTCACATTTTAATTATGCTTGTTTGCATGCGAGAATATCAACTAGTCTATTATTTCAACAGCTTAGCCTATTTATTTTGAAGCCAAGGTTTTTATAAAAGCAATGGAGATTCATTATTTCTCAAGATGCTGAAGGAAGAACGCATAACACTCAAGCTTGCTGCTTTGCCTGGGCTTCTGCTTCCTGGAACACAAAACAAACAAAACATACGTTTAAATATCACAAGGCAGATACTCCTATTCATCTTGGCTAAAACAAATTAGCAATTACTAAGATTATTCAAAAGCACAATAATTATTTCCAGAGGAAAAAAGGCTTTAAAATAATTAGCAGAGACTTTCATCGAGCCAGAAAGTGCTATGCAGGTTGCTAGGAGAGAACAGGCATCAAATTCTTACTCAGCTGTGGACTCTGTACACCACACAACCAACTCACCAGGCAAGATGGGACCACTGTGAAAATGATGGCATGCCTTTTATGGGGGTTAGCAACAGCTTTCTGATTGGATTTGAAGCCTGCTCCACAAGAGGGAATTCATATCTGGTTGTTTGATCCTGTAAGTAACCTGTGGGTAGGGAGGTCACAGGTACTAGAAGGAGCCTACTATTGTTTTGTCTAATATTTATGTTGTGTTCATCAAACTGCCTTCTAAGTATCTGTGTTTATCAGCATGTGATTGGTATTGCTTACAAACTTGGTTAGAGAAGCTTCTTTTTGCAGTGAGCTGCAATTAGTAACTGGTAAAGGACTGTGGAAAGTGACTGTTGAATGCTCAGTCATCAATGAAATCTCTGGACCATCACCACCACCACCACCACCACCACCACCCAAGTCTGAAAAAACACGTTGGAAAAGACAGTGGGCAAAAAGGGCCATAGGATGGGAGTGTTGTAGAATGTCTTTTAGGCACAACATGACCTTTGCACTCATCTCATGAACTCACAGGGTGGTTACCTATAGAAGGGTGGGCTCTGACAACATTACCTCATGGAATTAAGGGAGGGGCTTGTGAGGCCCTGCCCACCCTTGAGAAGATATTGGCAGTTAACCATTAATGGTTGCAATTAACAACTACTGATGGTAGGGGAAGGTAAATTTTCTTAAATGGTGTATATGCTCTGGTAAATGCCTCCCAAACTATGCTCATGTCAGCAAGCCCTTTTTAAATTTAATGGACCACATACAAAGGCATAGAACTAAAAGTGGGATTGTATGGAAAGAAGACGTTTGGGGAGAGGGAGACAGTTAATGGGGTAAATATGATCAAAATACACTATATATGTGTATGAAATCATCAAACTACTTTAAAATAAACAAAACTGTGAATGGCAACTAGCATATGCAATTGGGGAAGCAGTTAGATTATATCATGTATATGCGTGTCAAGTGAACAGTATGTAGGAGATAGCCTAGCTTCTGATAGTCACACTCTGTCTTTCCTAATGAAAGGCATTACTGATACAGCATCTAAAGCAAAAGAGTATTCTACAATCTAAGTAACTGTCCATTAGAATGCATCATATTACCAGGCATGGTAGCACACACCTTCAATCCCAGCACTCAAGAGGCTGAGGCAGGTGGAGCTCCCTGAGTTTGAAGCCAGCTTGGTATACAGAGTGGGTTTGTATTTAATGCAGGCAAAGGTGCATGTTGTCCATGATGCAAACCTGTTCATCTGAGTTCAAATCCTGGAACTCACGCCTCTTACCTACACATGTGCACTGTGGCACTAATGCTCCTTCTCATCACAAACACACACACACACACACACACACACACACACACACACACGCAAACACATTCGCACATACATTGAATACTGAAAGAAAACAAGATCCATAAAAATATATTCATTTAAGTAGCAATTGTTGTTTTCAGGCCTCTATATACCTGGGTGCCCATGGACACACACATTATGGACACACACACACACACACACACACACACACACACACACACACACTTTAACAATGACAGAGTGGGAGTGCCAACTTCCCTTGATCAACTAATCTTAATTAACTTTAAAAAGAACTTCATCCTGTGCATGCACAGGCTTTGAGTTAAGTAATTCAGGATTTAAATCCCAGCTGTGTCACTCAATTATCTACAGACACTTAGTTCATAAAGTTAATATAAGAATGAAAAGAGATATATACAAAGTGTGTGGCTGAGTACATGACCCATTCCAGTCATCAATTCTTTCTTCTCTTTTCTCCTCGCCTCTTTTTTGACTAGAACCAAGTCCACAGTTAGGTGTTATTGATCTTTAGTAATCTCTTGGATAGATAATTTTCAAAGAAAACAGGATCGTTTCACATACCACAGCTGAGGCAGATTCCATGGCCACTTTCCACCACAAAGTGATCCAAACAAAATTAATGCAAAGATTTCTCTAACCATAACTCTCAACTGTGGTAACAGGTTACTACAAGAGACTTTTCTAGCCAAATCATTTTCTCCTTAAAGACAAATAACAATGGATTTATTTTTCAGCAAAGTATTAACTACTTTACTGTCAGTGCTAAGAAGTACTTTCTGAATTGATTTAAAAAAGAAATTAGTAGTATCCTTTGCTCTTAAGTACCCCACGTACACAAAGGGATAATAAAGTGTATTTATTTGTCTTCCACAAAAACATGCTTTATAGAACTATTTTCAGTGCTGTTCTTTTAGGTAGCAAGCTTTCTACTGCATTAGTTTTCAGTAGTCTTAAAGGGTATGCACTATTAGTTACATGGAAAATAAAGAATAAGATAAAGTCATTTCTATTGGCTACAATTCCTTCCAGGATAGGTTCTGAATAGAATTAGAGAATTATACAGTAAAAACAAATCTATAAGTCATTTGCATATATTTTGGCACAAGCTACCATTGTTCCCTCTTATCAATACAGGAGATATCCCAACTTCCAGTGGACACCTGAAACCACAGGCATTCTAGTTAGTCTGGATTTTTTTATTATAAAAAAATTTAACTCATAAAACAAGCATAGTTAGAAACTGTCAACACTAACTAATCACAGTGCATTAAAACAATAAGCTCTAATAAAAGCTATGTGAATGTGGCTCCCGTCCTTCTCTCCTGCCATTGAGTAGGTCGTGCATACAGACCAGATGAGCTTGGCAAAAGGGCAATTCAGATCCTGTATGGAGTGGACATCATGCTGAGAGATTTCATCACACTATTCAGACTGACAAAAACACATATGTTGTTTGTTCTGGAATTTTTAATTAATACTTCCAGACCAGAGTGGATAGAATTATGGAAAGTGAGACTGTAGAAGACGAAGCCATGATATGGTTTAAGTGTCAGCATGAGCTTAATAAATGGACAAATATTTTTGTTGGCTCTATTGCTGGACATTTGTTTCCAACATTATAGATAAGAGACACATACGCAAAATTTATATTTAAATTATCTGACTCTCATCTGTTATCCATAAAGCTCATTAATGAATTAATTTAACTGACACTGCTTTGAAACATTGAACTTTTCTCCAGACGTTTGAGATTACAGATTATATTTTAATCCATGCCTTTAAACATACAGTTGTTTCTGTATCTAGGATTACTACTAATTCAGACTATATATTACTCAGTGTGAAATTTCCGGGTGAAGGAGTAGGGTCACATTCTTGAATTTCTTGGCAAATATTTGCTCTTCTCATTTTCAAAGAAGAATAATAGCTTAATGTACCAAAATACTATCTGTTTCAATATACTTTGCCAGCAATAGTCTTATCATTTTGTTTTATTTTTACTAATTTCACATATGAAAACTGCATCTCACTTTGTTACATTTTATGGATTTTATATACGGACTAACTACTGAATTGATTTTTTGGTAAGATTTATTTTTTAAATTCTATGTGTAGGTGTGTGTGTCTGCATGTGAGTATGTGCACAAGATTGAAGTTGCCCTCAGAGGCCAGAGGTGCAGAGCAAGTGTAATATCCACTTGTGAGCCACCTAACAGTGTGTGCTGGAAAAAGAACTCGGGTCCTCTGGAAGAGCAGCATGTGTTCTTACCTGCTGAGCCATTTCTCCAGACACTTTCCCAGCAATAGTCTTATCATTTTCTTTGTTTTTTACTAATTTCACATGTGAAAACTGCATCTCATTTTATTACATTTTATGGATTTTATATATGGATTGACTACTGAATTTATTTTTGGTAAGATTTATTTTTAAATTCTATGTGTAGGTGTACTAACATTCAAAATCTCTCTTTAATCAGTCCACTCCAGATGTCTTTTTGTTAACCTAATATATCAATTTCCCTTTGCCCAACCCTTAATAATATCCAGCTTCCCTCATATAAACATTTCTAATTGTTATTCTCTCCTTGTGCTGTCAATCTTACCAGAAGATATATACCTTCTCATAACTCCATCCCTGTTAAGTCAACTATTTGTTTTAATATAGGCAAAAGCCCAAGAAGAGTTTAACCCACTCCAGTTCTTAGATGCACAAGCATCTTGTTAATTGTCAAGGCTTATAATGTGATTCTGCTTATCTGCCTTCTAAACCCCTCACTCTCTTTGTTAAAGCTATTTCACCTTAATGCCCTATCAATTGTTTTCATGGACTCTTAAAACATCCTAAAACAGAAATCTGATTATAAAATAGCATCCCTCTAATGGTCACAGTGCATAGTATGCTCCTGCTGAATTTACTGTCTTTTTTATTTAAATTAGGAACCATCTTGCTGTTTCCGGCCCACCTTCCTCTGTCCTGCTCGGGGACACCTGAGGCGGGGGGAGTACTCACAGTGGATCCCATCCAGGCAGGATCCAACACACTCAGAGACTGCCAAGGCCCCTGTACCAGTCCTGCCTCCATCCATGGGAAGAGGAGAGACATCAGAGTATTGGACCTGTTTGCACCTACTGGAAGGGAAACTTAGTCCTGGACCCACCTGTAGGGGAAGCTGTAGCCACGCCTTCTTAGGGGCTGGCTACAGGAGTACCTGGGCAGGCTTGTGAGGGCGTGGTCAGAGTGAGTAGGGGGTCTGCGTTTTCGGTTTCGGTTTCTCTTTGCTTCTTGCTGTACAGACTACCACCGGCTGGCTGGTTCGCTCTGTAAGTAAGGCTTTTCCCTATTAAATACCCTTATATTTCTACCTGACTCCGTATTGGTAATCTCCTACTATATCCACCAGGAAAGGAAAAAATTCCTTCTACA